CCTACAATAATCTTGAACCCAAAAAAAGGAGAGAGACTAGAATATGAAAGGTCATAATGCATCCAACAGTTCAACTAGCAACATGTGTCATCATCTCAGTCGCTCAATAAGTTGTGTATTAAGTAAATGCGAGATAGAGCACAAGGGGCCAAACCGGGTCACATTCCACCACTTGGGCCAACCATTTAGAAGTCGCTCTCTACGTCACTTTACTTGACTAACCGAGATCATTAAGATGGGAAGCCGAAGTGAATGAAACGAGATTTCAATTTTTTTTAGGATTATGCGTCTTTAAAGACAAAACTGAGTGCATTCGTATAAGGCAAAGATATACTAATACTAACCAATCCTCCAGTTAGGTACTTGAGCAGAGCACAAGCTGCTGTAGAAGCTAATAACTGATCAATCCAGTAGAGGATTGATCTGACGACAGTGATATGGCCGCCTGCTAATAGGCCGAGGGTGACAGCAGGGTTTATGTGGCCACCGGAAACGCGGAATCCGGCTGAAATCATCACCGCCACCACCAACGCATGTGCCATAGCCACAAAAAATAGTCCCACCAACGGATCCCCATTCAGCTTATCTGTTAAAAGGTTACCATATCGAAGACATGTAGTTGAAAATAGAATTTAAATGAGGAAACTCAAGACATTACCGGTAGCCATGGCAGCGCCGACCCCGGCGAACACGAAAAGAAACGTGCAAATGAATTCCACAATAAGGGCCTGGATGCAGTCCGATTGAAAGGCCTCTCGGGCATTTCCCAAGGCAATCTTAGCCATGATTGCTCCGGTGCAGGTGAATATGACTTGTTTGGAAGAATTTAAATTATGCCAGACAGAGCAGTGCAATTTCTTGGCCTCTGTAGGCTACTTAAATATATAAACGTAAGATTCCATCAACTTCAGAGCTTTGGGTGGCAATCATGTGCAAGTATTATTGTCATTGTGTAATGACACAAATGCCCATTTGGCTTATTTTGTGATTTTGCTTGTAATATTATTTTATTGAAAAACATTTGATTAAAAAAAAGATAATGAAAAATGTAATTTGGAAAAAATGGAACAAAACAAGCTCATAATAAATGTAATTTGGAATTAAATGACTCATCTAATTATACTAAGGGTCCATTTGATTACAAAGATGGAATTGAATTGGGTGGAAAACGAATTCCAGGAAACTAAATTGCCTAGAATTGTTTTCCTGAAAATTGTAAATTATTGTGTTTGATTGGTATAATTTTTCATGTGAAAATGTTGAAATAAAAGTATTTTTTGATGTTCATTTGACTTTATTTTACATAAAAATTGTTAATTAAAATGATAAAATTTGCTGGTATTGGGGATGACATTGGTTTCCATCGCCAAAAAGCAAAAAAAAAAATAAATAATAATAATAATAATAATAATAATAATAATAAATTCAAAAAAAATATCTATTTTTTAGTGTTCGTTTGGTTTTTTTACATGAAAATTATCAATTAAAGAGAAATTTTTTTTTTCAATAATTTTTAGAATTTGTTTCCATTGCCTAAAAAAACAAAAGAAAAAATCGCTATAGTAATCGGGAATTCCAATTCTCACTATATAAGGTGAGA